TCCAAATTCCAAATATTTCAAGAAGCATCCCCTGATCTATTCACATCCACAGAAATGCTCATTAATGAGATTTTATCCCTGTTGGATTCCCACCTCTGCCTTTGCATCCTGGAAGGATTCAGAACAACTGGACTCATATCACAGGCTTATGTACAGAGACCTTGTCCTCCACACTCTACTGAACCCCTTAGAGAACAGCAACCAATTCCCATCTGTATTAAGAGCCAACAATGGTGTGTTGACAGTATTGGTGCCCAATATATATCACAGCAATATTTAAACAAACATCACAGTAATATATTCAAAACCCCATTAGCTGCCACATAGGTGAGAGGAGTATGTGCATATTGTGGTCATAGTCACTGTGTAGAGACACAAACTTTTCAGGTTGCTGGAATCACAACTAGAGTTATCTTTAGTCCACATCTACGGTAAAGTCCAAACATACTACCATACTCTTAGAATAGATACTTGAACACAAATGCATTCCATAACCTCACTGTCTGCTTGGGTTTCATAAAATGGGCACAAGAACCATGATGGTACTGTAGTCACCTTAGAATCCAGGTTCCAGGAGCCAGGTCCATCATTCTTCCCAATGTAGTACTCATAGGTTCTGCATGTCTATAATTCCTAGGATTTCTTGCTGCTCAGTGGGGCTTGAATGGAGGTAAGAGATCCTCTGCTGAAACACAGCATAGTGGGAGTAGGTAGTGGCACAATTTCTGGTGCCTAAGCACCTGCACAAACTATCCTTGAAGAATGTTTTCAGGATTTGTGCATTGGAGTGATATCAGACTCTAGACGGACGGCTGCTGTAAGATTCAGCTTAATAGTCCTGTGGTTCGGCCAATTATGATACTTTTGTTGAGGTTGTTGTCTACCATGAGGGACCACCTGGTGAACATTCTCTCATTTCTTAGAACCATCCCATCATGCATCACCTGGGTGCTTGGGTATGACATTTCTCTTCGAGATGGAAGCAAGACCCGTTAGAATGATTAGGTACTCCCTCCTCAGGGTACCCTGGAGTCACAAACCCAGCTCTATGACTGCATGTTCCACATCCTATGGCAGTCTTTCTTGCACTAGGCTCCTTTTTACATTTGTGCGCTCTGTGAAGGTGGGAGTGCTGTCCTTGAATCCCCAAACTCTGGCATGTGGGCTGGAACTTGGAGATGCTCATTAAGTCCGTACAGAATAAACTGAAGATTAAGCGAGTGACCCTGCTGTGAAAAGCTCACTTGATATATTCTGAAATGCAAGTGTATACAGTAATTTCAAAGTTCTGTTAATTGGCAATTATAAAAATGGATATATTTGTACTATACATATTTCATTTTTACCTAGAATTTATTGAACAGAATTAAATTAGAAAAGGGATCCCTAACCTATGGTTAGTTGTATAATTATTTCATTATATATTACAATGTAATAATAATAGAAGTAAAGTGCACATTAATGTAACATGCTTCAATCATGCTGAAACCATCCTGAAATCTTCCGGCCTCTCCCCTGTCCGTGGAAAAATTGACTTTCCTGAAAACAGTCCCTGGTGACAAAAACATTCAGGGCCACTGAACTAGAGTAGAGGACTTTCCTTTGAGTAGCATTCAGGAAATAGTATTCTACTCTATCAGACATTTTTTATAATTTTCAGTTTGGATTTATTTAAGTGGAGATCTTAGCATCAAATGTATAGTTTTCTGCCTGAGGATGTATTTCAATACTGCTTATCTTTTTTTTTTTTTTTTTTTTTTGAGACAGAGTCTTGCTTTGTTGCCTAGGCTAGAGTGAGTGCCGTAGCGTAAGCCTAGCTCACAGCAACCTCAAACTCCTGGGCTCAAGCGATCCTTCTGTCTCAGCCTCCCAAGTAGCTGGGACTACAGGCATGTGCCACCATGCCCGGCTAATTTTTTCTATATATATTAGTTGGCCAATTAGTTTCTTTCTATTTATAGTAGAGACGGGGTCTCGCTCTTGCTCAGGCTGGTTTCGAACTCCTGACCTCGAGCAATCCGCCCGCCTCGGCCTCCCAGAGAGCTAGGATTACAGGCGTGAGCCACCGCGTCCGGCCAATACTGCTTATCTTTTTTTAATCTTAGATAGTTGGGAGGATCACACCTAATTCAATAACAATAACTTTGAACCTACTTTTATTTCCCTTTTACTCAGTATTTTCAGTGAAACTGTAATCCTGCTTTCCTACTCATAATTCATGTATTTATAATGCATTTTGATGAATTAGGACATTACATGCCAAGTCCAACTGGCATAAGCAGGATGGGAAATAGAAGCAGTTGTTCCTTCTGAGGCTGAGGACTTGTTGCTCTTGTGCCCAGGTGCACTAGAGAGTCAGTGAATGGCAATGAAGTCTCAGGATTTACTGGGCATCAGTCAAAATATATCTTAGATGGAATGGACAGGATTATTTATAGAGCTAGTCTATTAGCCAGGGATTTATTGAAAATATATTTACTTTTATATGGAGTTAGCACAGTGCCTGATCAAGTAGCTAGAAATGTTTTTTGAATTCATGCATAAATACACAGTCATGGGTGACAGCTCCCACAAGGTGCCTTGAGGGACTTTAAAATATTTTCTTTCCTCCTGGAGGACACCCCTGGATAATCTTCGTGTTCCTCTGCAACATGCAGCTGAGAGGAAAATCCGTCACTGGTCTTGAAAAGAGGCGGCTCATGAGCAGAGTCCTGCATCCCCTGTGTTCTCCCCCGTAGCAGTGCGCAGTCCTGCAGTAATAGGGAGGAGCCTCTCTCACAGGACACTGACTGCTCTCCTGAGTGGGAGGTAGCTGTAAGAGCCAAAGTGAGACTTGCTGACTGAGCCAGTCTTTTCAAGATGCTGGGTGACCCTGTCATATTCAGGTGGGAGCTGCTTCAGAGAAATAATAATATTTGCCAAGGATCTTCTAAATTCTGAGTCCAATCCCAAGAAGTAGCGATTCAATGACACAGTCTCTGCTCTTAAAGACCTTACAGTGTTGTGGAGGAGGGAGACAGGGAGACTCATCGAGGTACAGCATTCTCAGTGCTATAAGAGAGGAATGTCTGGGGCCAAATTAGTTCTGTTGGACTTCAGGGGCTGAGCCTAAGCCTCCAGGGACTCTAAGATTTCTCACATGCACCCTGAAAAAAATGTCCCTGATATCAAATGAACCACTGCCCAGGTGAAATATCTCTACAAGGCCCTTCATGATGGAGGACATCTTCAGCCAAAGCTGTACAATTGCTGATATGATAGAATGACAGGGATAACTCTCATAATAGTCCTTACTGTGAAGTGACGACATGACATACAGTGTCTTACCTGGTGCACAGGCTGCAAGTACTGTCTTCCTGCCTCCCCCACAGTAGGGAGCCCTCAGGACAGTCAAGGTCTTTGAAAATCAATGGTGTACATACAGGTTACAAATCAGCACAGTGTTCTACATGGAAGAGGATTGCATCTGGACTCAGGGAGCCTGAGTTCTCTATACTGACTCTGTTATAAAAGCAATCAAGGAATTTGATTGGAAAATCTGAAAACCATAGACTTTTTCATATCCTAGCTCCCTTCTACTGTCTGGGTACTGAGTTTATTTGTCCACTCCCCTCTGTGATGGACAATCTGAGGGGCAGCCACAGTGCTTGTGAGCAGCAGAGACAACCACTGTGTTGTCACAACATGTCATGGTGGCCCCTTCTGTCTGCTTGAGTCCTTTGTGGAAACAGACACCAGTGGCACAGATTAGTCCTCGACTCTGTGTTGATCCTAGTTTCCTTAATTAATCATCTTTGATAATTGTGGCAAAATTTACATAACAACATTGGACTACCTTAACTACTTAAGTGTAGAATTCGTGGTATTCAGTATACTTAGAGTAAAATCTAACCGTTCTCATAGTTTTAAGAACTTTTCATTATGTCACACAGAAATTCTGTATCCATTAAACCATGACTATACATTCTTCCCTTACCCCATACTCAGTATTATTTCTGTGCTCACTTTTCCTAGTTTCAATACCTTATAGGGTTTGAACTTACAGTATTATTCTTTTGGGTCTGGCTTTCTTCACTTAGCACAATGTTCTTAAAGTTCATCTATGTCACAGCGTGTATCAGAACTCAGTGCTAACGCAACATTATTATCGGTATAGTGTAACAGACATGATCATGAAAAGGTTAGATGTTTTCAATCCTGATTCCCATGGTGACTGGACATGGAACTAACTGAAAGTTACAGGCAGAACAAGTTGGCAAAAACTGGAAGTATACAGAGTCCTCTTACAAATAAAGGAAAGTTTAAGCTAATAATAAATGGTTCTCAAGACATATTCTTCTCTGAAAACAATACTGAGGTTGCCAATAGTAAAGGGAGAAGTGGGGAATATTCATGGACTCTACACTGGTCCCCAGGTACAGGAAGTCCTACATGAGCAATCACCTGTTTTACATGGTTTTCTTTCCTAGAAACCAAGGCCATCTTGTTACCATGCCATGAACAAATGACAGCCATAGCAAAATGACATGCCATGGTAAAAGAATATCTCATATAAAATCAATTTTCTAGACTGTTTTTATAAAGGCAGAGAGTCTGTCTCTAACGATATTATTTTCTCTGATAGCTGAGAACGCGGTGAGATTTATGGGAAGCAGAGCTCACTCATTCAGAGCCAGCTTCCCCCCTGCAGCGTGGCCTCCCAGTCACAGAGTGAACGTAATTATCAGGGGAACAATTTCTGAGTCATAAATAAGGAGTCTTTTCTGATACCGTCAGGTAGAAAACAATTATAGAGAAGAATTGTGTGGCTTGTGACAGGCATGCTTTCACTGCAATGAAATTTGCAAAGAAAATATGTTCAGTAGAAAGATTCAGAGGAAGATAACAAATATGAGAACATTATTGGTAATGTCAGGAAGGATGGAGACAATGTACTTTCAGACAATACTTTCTCTGAGTAAAAGTATAAAAGCCAGGTTAAAAAGAAATCTATCTGAAGGCACTGGGGAATTCCTGAGGCATTTCAGAGACACAAGGTTGAGAGAAATGCATGCAAAGGCGAAGCCTGCCAGACCGTGCTGCTGTCTGAGTCACGTGTGACTGCCCAGGGCAGAGGCTGCTCCTCCCTGGCCTATCAGCTTTCCGACAGCTCCAGGGGTCCCTGAGGAAGGCTGCCCCCAGGTTCATCCACCTCAGGGGTGTCCTGCAGAGCCCGCTGGAGAACCTGCCGCAGGGTCTGCCGCCCTTGCTGCCGCCGCTGCCTAAAGGAGCCCGCAAAGAAGTAAATGACGGGGTTGGCGCTGCTGTTGACAGACGTCAGGAACATGGAAACTACAAGTAAATAACAATCTACTTGAACATCATAGGGAATAAATAAATATATGACAAAGGCAATGCCCAAGGGCAGGGCACAGAGGAGGAAGACCAGCACTGTGAGCAGGATGGTCACATACAGCCTGGTCATCCGCATCCGCCCGGAACCACATAGGAATCTGAGGAGCAGGGTCAGGCTGGAGCCACAGAGAACCACAAGCAAAACAGTCAGCCATATACCTACGATGAATCTAGATGTCAGACACACAGTATAGTCAAAATCATATAGAAATCCACACAATTCATTCACGGTGCTCATCAGCAGGGCCAGGGCCCAGAGCAGGCCACACACAACAGCTGACGTGCGTCTCGGGCGGTGGCAGCGGTACCAGATGGGCCACAGGGCGGACACGCAGCGCTCGGCGCTGATGGCGCTCAGCATGCTCAGCCCTGCAAGGTAGGAAAAAACCAACACATAGATGATGACTTCAGAGATGTTGAAGAAATACCAGAAGAGTTCAAGGAATATATCCATGGATTCTATCATCAAGAAGCAGAGGTAGATAAAGTCAGCCACGGCCAGGTTGAGGATGTAGACGGAGAAGGCGTTCCTGCGCATGCGGACGCCCAGCAGCCAGAGCACAACGCTGTTTCCCGCCAGCCCAACCAGGGCAATGATGCCAGTCAGACAAGGTAAGATCTGAGCTGCCAATCCGCAATGTTGAGAATAGGTCTTGTTACTTCCATTCCTTGCTGTGAATTCCATGCTCCCGGCTGGGGTTGTTGACTCCATGCTCAGAAAATGTGCACTCGAGCCCCTGGGAACACAAACAAGACATGAGCAACAATTGTATGATCTCTGATTGTCACGACCAACCTGCAGTGTGTGAATGACTGTGCCTCTTTTAATAGAGGAGGCAAACAGAGGCACACAGGGAATAAATAACCAATGAGAAGGTGAGGTGTCCTCAAACCTGTGTTCGAACCCAGTTGATTTTTATCCTACACTTTCATTCTTTTTTTCTTCAACCTACAGCCATATTAAGCCAATCATCATTTTTAAAAGTGTCATTTTAATTAGATTCTGATTTAAATATTGAGAAAATTTCTTGAATGCACTCTATCAGTGACTATTTAATAAGAACTTTGTTATGGGCAGAATTTTATCCCTCTAATAATCAAATGTTGATGTCCTAACCCTCAGTTAGTCATAATCTTACTGTACAGTATGTGGACATGGGGACTTTAAAGAGGTAATCAAGTTTAAAAGAGGCTGTAGACCTGGGCCTTAATCCGACAGGTCTTGTGATCCTAGAGAAGAGGACATTAGGACGTGGACACACAGAGGAAAGACCACGTGAAGACGGAGAGAGAATAATACGCAATCCAACACTGTCCACACCTTCATCTCAGACTTCTAGTCTCCAGACTTGTGAGAAAATAAACTTGTGTTGTTGAATCCACCCAGTCTGTGCTGCTGAGTTACGGCTGTCCTAGCAAACTAATAGAGACATGCTATGTACCTGTACTGTGTCAGGCATTTGAACTTCAGAGTGAATAACAGTAGACCATAGTCTTTTGGGGGTTATCCTCAAGGTCTGATTGAAAAGTTAACAGAGACTGAAAAAGGAAGAGGTATGAAGGGGGTTCCAGCTGTTAGGAGACTGGAGAAATCCTAGTAAACCATCCATAGAGAAACTGATCTTGGAGCAAGCATCTTAGAATCAGATAGAAATGCATATAGGAATTTAGTATATGATAAAGGTTGCACGTGACAGTCTTGGGTGAAACATATAAAGGAGCAACTGTGAAGAAGGAGGGAAACCAGGGGGGTACAGTGTCCCAGGATCCCAAGTGATGGAGTCATTGGTCAGTAAAGAGTGTCAGTTACAGTTGAATGGTCAAGAAATTGACCCTTGGCTTAGCAATGTGGAGTCATTGCGGATCTTGTCAAAGTGGTGGCAGAGGCAGAATGGCCCAAGGACTAAGTGGAACAGGTGTGGGAGAGAAGGGCAAGTGGGGTGATGGGACTCCAGGACACTCAGACATCAACTGAAACACCATCCCAGACAAGAAGACAGTGAAGGCAAGAGGCTGCAGGGCATGTTATTGGACAAACAACCAACAGTAATAAAGTCAGAAAGAAAGACATTTTTGGCATGGCATGAAAAATAATACTCAAAATATGAAATATTGGGAAAATATAGGTAACATATCATAGCCAAAGTGCTAACTTATTTTATTTATAAAAAGTTTCTGTAAAATGATGATTTAAAATTTAAAAAGTCAAGACCAGCCCTACAAGAAGTACTTAAAACAGCGTTATGCACGGAACATCATAATAATAACCCACGAATATAAAAACAACCAAAACCCAAAGATATTAAAGGCCAGATATTACAATGGCTCAAGCCAGAAATCATAGCAACAACATCCAACCCAACAGAATGATCAGTAATCTACCTTACCTATCAGTTCTCTCAATAAATGTGAATGGCTTAAACTCTCCACTCAAGAGACATAGGCTGGCTGAATGGATAAGAAAATACTAGCGAAAGTATCATGCTTGTTTCAGCGAAACACATTAACCTCGCAAGGATGCCATATACGATACCCTACAAAGGGTGCCACTCAATATTCCACAGCAAATAGAAGCAAAAGACGCCGCTGGCTGTCCGGCAGTCTACATTCTCACGCGCCTCTCTAGCTCTCCTTCACCTACCACAACCGCTCCGCCTAACCACGACCAAGAGCGGTCATTAAATCATACCCACCTGGTGAAGGGCCACAGTCCACAAGAAGAGATACACAATCTTTTAAATATATATGCCACACCTTACGTGCCCCCGCCTTCTACCGCAACTCTACTGGCCTACGCACATGGATTAATACGCACTCTCTCGCGCGCGCTTTCCACACCCCACACTGAACGGCGAGACACGACTCTCCCAAACAGACAACTTAATAGAAATACCACTGGACCTCTACCAACACCTCTCAGCCTCTGGTCTGACAGACATCCTACCAGCAACATTCTACCCAAATCCACTGCATACCTACGCTTCTTCTCATCCAGCTCACGGGCACATTCTCCTAAGATCTGCACATCATCCTACGGCGCTCTCGCATCTCCCACACTCGCAACTCCTACCATGCGTACCTTCTCAAGAAGATAGAGAATAAAGCTAGATATCAATGACACATATAACTATATACAACACCGCTGAAATATAAATCCATAACTACATACCATCACTACATCAACAACCCCACCCCCTCCGCTAATGACCCACGGAGACGGAAATAAAACGATTCATAGAGAACCAACATACATGAGACGAGAACAAAGCATTATAACTCCTCCTGGACACAGCTCCGCCGCTCTCTGCAGCAGGCAACCGCTTTAATCCCATCACCCACATCGCCTATAACCCAAAGACAAAGAAGACTCAGCAAATAGAAAATAATAGAAGATCAACTGCCAGCAGCAGAACAAACCCAAAACCACCCACGCGACAGCGTGCATACAAACAAGATCACCATCGATAAAATATAAAAACAACAGCCCGCTATTCCAGGAGCGATTAATAAACAAAGTTGCGTTCTTTGAAAAATAAAAATGACACCCAACATGGTAGCATACACGAAAAGCAGAGAGCGAATACATACATATAGAATACAGGAATAAAAAAAATAACAGACTGATCCAAAGAGATAAAAGAATACAAATATTATATAAGAATACAAACATACTTTATGCACAAACTGGAAAAAATGTGGAGGTGGACATATATATAGAACAACAGCTCCCTAGCTCAACAGAGAGCCATAAGATTCCTGACAGACCACATAAATCCAGTGAAACACAAGAAATCTCCAAACAGAAAAATTCCGCTCCAGCATGGCTTCACACCTGGACATCTTACAATAACTAATAACAGAGAACTAGTACCTACTATCCGCAGAAACTAAACATTTCCACCAACAACATCCGAGAACAGCAAAATGGAACAAATACAACTATTATTGCGATATATAATACGAATAAAAAGAGAAGCAGCAAGAAACTACAACAAAATAATCCTCTGAATTAAGATGCCACAAATTCAAATAATCACAAAAATCTCTAGCTAACCGAATCAGCATTATACAATACCACAGAAACACCACAACCAAAGACATGGGCTTCATCAGGGATGACAGAGAATAGGAAATTACAAACTAACATAAATACATAATAATGCAATTCACCTAAAACAAACAAACAAAAGAAACACACATGATTCTATATCATAGAAAAAGAAGAATATTGAACAAAAACAAAATACAACACCTTCTCTGGATACGAACACTTAATAAAATAGGCATAGAAGGCATAATATAATAAAATGATACAAGCATGTATGACAGACCCCATAGCCAACATCATACTGAATGGGAAAGATTGAAATCATTCGCCTCTAGAACGGACCAGACAAGGCTGCCCACTATCCTCCACTACTCGTTCAACATAGTGCTGGAAGTCTTGCTACAGCAATCAGACAGGAAAATGGAATCAAAGGTATCCAAATAGGCGCGCAGAAGAGATCAACCTTTAACTGTTTTGTCTGATGATTACTGAATTCTAGTATCCTAGAAAACCCCAAAGTTCAACAAGAAACTCCTGGAACTTATCAATGATTTAGTAAGTCTCAGGATAACAAAAATCAATACACACAGAAATCGAGAGCCATTCTACATACGCCCCAACAACAATCTAATTGAAAACAAATCAAAGATCATTCCCTTCACAATAGCAAACAAAGAAATTAAACGTACCCGTAGGAATATATTAACAAAGAGGTAAAAGACTCTACAGGGAGAACTCTGCACACTGAGGAAGGAAACTAGCAGCAGGATGGGTAGAAGATAAAATCCATACCATGCTCACTGGAATCGGCAGACTCAATACTCATCAAATGTCTATCTCCCAAACTGATCTAAGATTCAACTGCATACCTACTAACCAATCCCATCAGTGCTATTCTTCACAGAGTAGTTTTAATTATATTCTTTCCTCTTACGTAGGAATGGAACCGCAAAAGAAGACACGAATATCAAGAAGCAAGTTCTAGGCCACAAAACAAATGGAGGCATATAATATGCCAGATATAAACTAGTACCTACAACGCTGTATCATTAAGACACATAATGGTATTGCCAAAAACAGGAATATTGACCAGTGGAACAGATGTGAGAATCTGATATAAAACCATCCTCATATAGCCAATCTCATCTCTTGACAAAGAGACAAAACATACACGCTGGGAAAAGAATCTCTCTTCAATAAATGGTCGCTCGGAAAACTGGATAGCCACCTGCTAGAAGGCTAAAACAGGACTCCACTTTCACCTCTCCCAAAAACCAACTCACGCTGGTAACAGATCTACAACCTAAGATAATGAAACTACTTAGAACTCCTAGAGGAACAAGTTGGAACACTCTCCTAGAATGGTCTGGGCAAGAGTTTATGAAGCAGTCCCAAACGGCAATCACAGCGACAACAAAATAAATAAATGGGCACTGATCGCGAAACTACAAGTCGTTTGCACACAAGCAACAAGTCATGGAAAGTAAAGCAGACAACTTACAGAATCGGAGAGAAAATTTTTGCATCCTATGCATCCGATAAGGGACTGTAACTAGATATAATACTAGAACCACGAAATTAGGCAGAAAAAATCAATAACCCATTAAAAGTGGGCCAAAGGACTTTGAACAGAAATT